AGGTGTAGAATAGAGTGTAAATTACGCTGAATACTGCTAAAATCGTGAAAATGGTCATGGTGCTCTAACTAAAAGCTGTCGAAAAGCTCTCGGTGTGGATCAATCCCCTAAAGATGAGCCATGCATTCGACTTCACTAAGCAACTTTTGGAAATGATCGAACGCGTATCTAGTCATTACAATGACTCGCGGTGGCCTACCGATGTATCTAGCCAGTGACGTTATCCTCCCAGACAAGTCTGGTACCAATTCGCCGACCCCGGAGAGATAAAAGCTTGGTAGGTCATGGGCGTGGGAATCGCTCCCATGTGTATTGCAAGGCGCCTCCGACCACTGCGCTACACGCGCTCTTGTATTCCAAGTATCCCATCAAATCAGGCATAAGGCTTCCAGTACCCACAATAGTGCACAAATGAAGAAATCGGTGGTGAAAATTCCATCCTTTATTGCAAGAGAATTTTGGAAAAATAGTGTAGGCTGCTAGCCATATCAAAAAGCATAAAAGCAGAAATATAGTAATGCTATGAGAAATCACAAGTAACATGTGATATTTGTACAAAACCGTGTGAACTTTTTAGATAACTTACCATAACTTCTAACATCACATTCCGACCTTGTAGAAGATACGACGATAAACACACGGATGGACGACTGTTCACTTGCGAAGGTGTCACTCTTGACGCATGTCGATTTCGGGGAAACTTAAGGAATCAATTTACGGAAGTGAAAATAAGAAGAATAAAATCGAGTATTGATTTTGAGAATGATAACACAAACCATACTCCATCGACCCTTCGGAACAGGAGTAGCCCATACAAGTCGAGCAGTGGGGTATGTTGCACCACCAGAAAATACCATTAGAGAACCAGACGAGTCTGAATAAAGCAAAGCATACATCAAACAAATGAGACGCGTGTAGCACAGTGATCGGAGACACCCTGCATTACACATGGGATCGATCTCTGTGCCCAAGCCTCACCAGGCTCTCCATATCTCCGGAATCGGCAAATTGGTATCAGATTTGTTCGGGAGGATAGCAGCACTGGCTCGATGCATCATTAGGTCACCGCGAGTTATTGTAAAGGCCAGGTATGCATTCGATTACCTCCAACGATGCTTAATGAAACCGAATGCATTGCACATTCCTCAGGGAGTGATAGCCGCCGATAGCTTTACCTTTTCTATATATTTATATGTACGTATGTATATATGTATATAAATGTACACAAACACATACATAAACACATAAACGGCTTTTTACAAGACCTATCATCACGTCTACCGCAGTTCCTAGAGCTTCCTGCAATCGGTTCGCTATTCTTGCACTCATCGTCACAATGATCATCGAACTTTTTGCGTGTTGTTTCAAATGTTGCTTAAGAATTTCATTTCGCTATTATTAATGTCGTAGAATCTTGGTGGAGCCGATACCACTTGCAATCCAGGAGGTAGTCGGGCGTAGACGTACGTAATCACTTGGATTGGAGAAGAGCGTTGTGGGCTTATGGATTATCAAACTCCTCGTGATGCTGCTCGAATGGCACAAGTACATAATGGAGCCATATGGATCTTATATGGCCAAATTGATGTTATATCTTGCATGGCTAACTTTCGCGTTTTTGCGAGGGCAACATGGCCTGTGCAAGATCAACTATGAGCATTCTGTACGATGGATGATAAAGTAGATAAAACATTTAGGAAGCAAGAACACTGCAAGATGATTGCCAATTCTTATGATGTAGAGGTGTTCAAATGAAAGCGTTGATTCTTGGAAGCTTCTGCAGATCTTGTAGCAGCAACAAAAATTGGGGATCAAGTAAGCCAGTTTTCGTACCATTTCAGGAAAACCATGGTTAAGACACGTAATAAAGACGATAGCGAAGCAGCCACTGAACTAAGACCTACCTTTATGACTGAGCCAAAAATTCGCTCTGAACCGTTAGTACCACAGGAACCGATCTGCACTTTTGTTATTTCTTTACCAAACTACGCTGCGAGTTAGCAAAAACAGTGACTGAAAAGGATACGACACCACCTGAGGTGAAATAACAGCTTGAGTTTGGTAAGGATCTACTCTAATTCGTGCATAACAATGTTCTAAAAGGTACCGGCGCCGATTTGCAGGGCTTAGAAGGCTGCCCTGAACTACCATGCAGAAACGTATATGGATATATATATATATATATATACACAAGTACATACACATATACGTATACGCATATGTTAATGTGCATGCACATATATATGTGTATATATATGAACGTATATATACAAATGTGTTTAAATATATACATGTAAATAGGGGCAAAGCTCTCGGCATTATCTGGCCTTTACATTGACCCGCGGTTGCCTACCGATGCATCGAGATAGTGCTGCTATCCACCCAGAAGTCTGGTAGCAACATGCCGACCCAGGAGGCATGGAAGGCTTAGTGAGTCTGAAATGCGGGGATCGATCTCATGGGTATTCCAGTTCGCCTCCCACCACTGCGCCACGCGCGCCCTATATGTATATATATGGTATGTATTTGTATACATATTTATGCATATGCATACATACGTACATATGTATATACGTACATATGCATATATATATATATATATATGTAGTGAAAGTCTTTAGAGACCCACCTTCCACGTTATTCGGCGTAACCAATCCTAGTCTTTCCAGTTCGCTGTGCGCTTCTCGTCTATGTAGTAACTCTACATCATAATTAATAGCAACGGCTGACTGACCTTGCTGCGCTTCTTCCTGTAAAAAAAGAGCTTTGAAAACTTATCAACATTTTCCGATGAATCTCCCCAATGTTTCAATTCCTCGTCATGGATGACCAATTTCTCGGATGTCAAACTGCGGCGTAAAGAAAAAGTACATAATCAAGCAAGGTTACCATTAATTCAATTGAGAGTAGGTTCGAAACTTTAACAGAAAACAAGTCTAGGAATAAACCGAGGCTGGGTGTCATAACCTCCTGGTAGCAGTAATGTTTGTGGCTACTACTTGGCTATGCTCCAATACGACAGTTTCTAAACTCAGGAGAACTTTACCCGACCAACAAACCACCAAACACTTCGAAATTCCTGGGTTCCACAATATTCTTCATGACATTTGTGGGAGTGGAAAACGTTTTTGAACAGAAATCATTAAATACGTGGTTATTTGGAAGACTCTAGACATCGAAATTTCCATTGCATCAGCGATTTTTGCTTTCTAACCTTCATAGGAATCCCGGATACCGTAGTTGACACAAGGTCGTAGATATCTATAGCAATCGAATGGATTGCCGAGATCAAATCAGCTCCAGCAGTGCGAGAAAATATGTAAGACGACACTGTAGTGGACACCTAAATGTTAACCTAAGATCACCACTCACATACCCGTGGCAAATCATTTCATGAAATAAGATGCAAATCACTTCTCTAAACGATTTCGACGCTATATTGCATGATAGACCAGTGGGTAAAATATTAACGATATAGAGTCTAACATTATTTATGCAAGAGAACCTGAAATGATGCAAAACATCATCGAAGTGTCCAATTGTATGTCATCTATAATGACGCTGAGATATTTGCAAAACTCCCGACCGCTGGTGTCCACGGTGGGGAAGGAACGCGCTATTACCGTTTCCGGGAGTCAAATAATACGGCTGAGAAAGGCGAAACGAAGGCCTTGCATGGTGTGGTGGTGAACGCGTTAGTCCCCGGAAAGGACAATAGCGCGTTCGTTCCCCACCGCTGATACCAGCGGTCCGCAGTTTTGCAAATATCTCAGCATCATTACGGCTATATCTCACATAACACTAATATTAAAGAAAGAGTAGGCAGAAAATAAAGTGTACTACATAGGTGTTATTTATTTCGATCATAAACAAACTCTCGGGAATACTTTAGCGACTTACGCACTATCTTGCAAGGATTTGATAATCCTATTGCGATTATCTACCATTTCAACCACTTCATTCTCCAATTCGGTCAAACGTTCTTTGCTGTAATTGAAAAATAGGTGGAGCTCTTGCATATTTGTGTCACTAAGGCTGGTTTGTATAAAACAGCTATGAGGAAGTTATACTGACTCTGTATATGATGTAAAAATCACAACCGATCCACAATTTTCCTGAGGCTTTTTTCCAGATTCCGATACAGATGAAGTACATGGAGACTGCCAACATTTGGGAACACGACGAAAGTTGTCTCGTTCTCCAACACTTGTTTCGTCTTAAAAGAAGCTTTCAGAAAGTTATCAAACAAAGTAATAAATTTCCCAGGCGACTTCATGAAACGCATTGGCAACGACATCTAGTTTGAGGTATCTGTTGTACGCAAATAATCCTAAATTCACATTACACTTTGTATGCGCTGGATCAAATGCACACCAGCCAAAGTATACACGTAAAGCAGATAGACAACAGTTAGTCCTTTCATTAGCAACAGTTTCACTCCCAGATGGTGACACTCATTGGCAACACTATGTATTACTTTATCTGCACTACAAGCTAAGAATCACTACCGAAATCGTGTATTCGTAATATCGCAACAGAAACATAACAACATTTCACTTATGGATAATGACTCCTTTCTTATCATCTCGTCTAAAAAGGCAAGAAGTCGCTGTAAAGCTTATCAAGAAGAAAAGGATCGTCGTAAAAGTCGTTTCTTCATAAGTTTTAGTGTGCAAAGAGAAGCCTTCCTCAACCAACACATTGCATACCTAAAGCGAAGAGGCTACCTATTTAATACAGAAGGTACCTCGTAGAAACTTTGCATAAGAGAAACTGGGAACAAAGTGCATTGGAAACAATGAATTTCATCAAATCTGTTGCCGCTCCTGCATTCAAGCTAGTGCAGAGCATCGAAAGTTTCTTAGTATCACAAAACAACTTCTATAGACGGAAAATTTTCTTAGGGGAGTACAAAAACTACGCAGATCACTTCCCACTCCTTCCCTTTCTGGCAAAATTTATTTTTGTAATGTTTCAAATAGACACAAATAATAATGGTATCAAGACTCACGTTTACTAACTATCTCTCTTCGATTCCGTTCCAATTGGGCATCACTAAGTTGACTGAGCGCTTCAATGGCCAGTGTGAGTCCACTAATAGCTGCACCTTCGTTATCATCATTAGTTGAAGGCAGACCAGTTGCAGAAAGAGCATTTAATAACTGAATAATTTCCGAAACTTGAATACCATTTAAGGGGAGAAACAGTAGGTAAATATCTATTAGTCGAAATAAATATCGACATTTCGCACGCAGTGACATCACGTGTTCAAAACAACACCGCCCTACCAATGGCTTACCGCCTCATCGTGGCTGGGAGGTGTTCCTGGTGCCAGACTACGATGAACAGTAGGGAGATTTATCCCACAGCAGGGCCTTTCAAGCTGAAAAGGAGTCCGGCGTTTCTACCAGGAAGCCGAGCCAAGAGTAAACGAACACCAGGATCCACCACCGTCGATATATCAAACTAGTGGGATGGTGGCAAATCTCCCTCTGATTCACAAGAGGGACGACTGCCAGTGGTGGCGACGGACTGAGGCAGACTTTGACTAGGATTATGTCGAAATTCAGGCAACCATAATGGTTAAACAAGCAAAACTCTAAAGAAGTGGAAATTATGCTGGAGCCCGCACAACCGGTGAAGACGGCCTATCACAGAATCTAAGTAAGTACACGACACTGCCTACATAAGCCAGAATAAAGTCAAGATATCAACAATAAAAAATCATCACCTCTTGCTGAGTTACAAGTTCTGTACCCCAATGAGGTTGGAGCACACGACCTACATAATCAACAAGGACGAGTCGAAGCAGACGAGAACATGAACGATCTTGTTCCTGCGGGAAAAGATCAGAGACAGTCCGATGCAGTTCCAATGTCGCTTCAATGCACCATGTCCATAAAGATTTATCACATTTACCAACCTAAAAGTTTTCCTTCAAAGAGAGGACTTTTAAACCCAAAGAATGAAAACAGCCTCGAGACTCACCACCCTATTTACACTGGATTCCTTAAGTGTAATCGAGAGCAGCTAAACACAGCAACTTAGATGAATTAATTCAGCATGTAAAGTATTCTCACTCACATTATCAGAGCTTTTAGCAAAACGAGGGCCATGATCGAGTACAACTAAGACCTTGTGGTCTGGTCTTATCCCCATTCTAAAATGCTCTTTGAAAGGAAAAAGGCATAGTCAATATGTCAGAGGTAGCACAATAAGTCCAATATAAATATCGAGAAGATACCAAACGTTCTCAGATTCATTTAAAGAGAAAATTAGGTAAAATATCACCGACAGTCAAAAACATGAAACATGAACTGCACAAACGAGAAGAAAAACCATGAATGACAGATCCACTTGTTACAATAAAAAATGAAAAAGGAGAAAAGCAGCAACAAACAGGGAAATCTCAAAAAAGCTCCAGGATAACGACTAACTAACTACTCAGCAACGGTTTTTTGGTTCTGTCTCTCAACTATGTGCTCCGCGACTCTAATCTGATGCTTCCAGTAATTCGAACGGACCGGGTCCAACGTAATCAACTCCGTGTAGAGCTGAAGTGATTTCCCAAATAAATGATTGACGTGAAAATCAAGTTGCAAATTTACTAATCAGAAATCAGCCTTCATCATCTACTAGTGTATAAAGAACACCAAGAAGACCATTCTAACAACTTCTTCCCTACTTAAAGTTACGAACTACCCACCTCCTTAACTCTCTTGAAGTTATCGATTGGTTTAATATCATTTTCAACGTTTTCCAGGATAATATCACAAAGGAAAGAAACCTAAAAACAAATGGAAAAAGTGAATGAAAATAAAACGGGTTTCCCATTAAATACTCAGACCAGGTAGGGAGCTCTTTTATTTGCTTCCGTTCTATCATATAAGTCCTCTACAAATGCAACGACATCTGGACGAGAAGACACTCCATCACTAAGAAGTAACCTTAACATGAACAACTTATTCGAAGTTTTGAGGATATAAAGCGAAAACATAGATACTTACCCAGCTAAATAATTCCACACGCTTTCATTATTCGGCATCTTTTCTATCAAACGTTTGGCCAGGCTGTAGAACTTGCATTAGAAATGTTAAAGAATATACTGATACATATATATACATATGTATTTTTACGAGCTGCCCTTTTCAGATGACGCAAAGTTGGTAACGATGTTTTTATTTTTGTTGTTATCGTTCAATGACTGACATTTTCGCGTTCGCCTTCCCAAGAGCCTGGACCTATCACATATAACGGTAGCCCCACTACTATGTCCAGGCGCTGAGGAAGGCGAAGTCGCCGAAACGTCAGCCAGTGAACGATAACAACAACAATAAGAACATCTAAGCCAACTTCGCGTCAGCTAAAAAAGGGCAGTTCGCAAGAACATAAATGTAGACATATCGACTACTATGACGAGATTTGTAGCAAGTCGATCTTTTGAGTTACACTAAAATATGAAGACCTACTTTATCTCATTACCAAGGGTTGACGGGTCCGAAATCTTGTTTGTGCTTTGCAGAACGAAATACCTATGGTTCCATGCTGAGTTGTTACGAGCGTCTTCAAAAATTAGTTTGTCAGTGAACGAAAGTTCACTCTCAATTGCTTTTTGGATATCATCGGCAGCAAACACGAAGTGCCGCAGAACCCACTGCCTAGAAAACACTAGGCTTAAAACTCCTCGAGAAGTAGTGCTACTAATGATAAAGTTCTCTAAAAATCACAACTATCCAGCAGAATTTGCAATAACCGAAGACGCTGCCAGAGGTAAGATCATTAACTGAGCACCTCAGAAGCCACCTTTACGCATACCTGTACTGCCAAGCGTGGTAGTTCTTCGACTCATACTCTATAGCTAATGCAGAAAAGTTGAGTTCCCCTTGAACGGCAGAAGGACCAACCAATTCCGCTACACATCTGCGGTGATGCCTAAAAGTATAAGTACATGCTAAGTGTCCGCTTGGAAATAACTTATCAATATGCTCCTTGAAACTAATGCCACCTTTAAAAAATACGTAAACCCAAATTTTGTTCAAAGTAGACTTTCTTGTTAATCGAAGTGGAACCAGTAGGATCCAGAAATTACTTCTCAACAGTGCCTTCGTAAATGAGGAATTTCCTATAGTGATCAGAATATGGTAGACAAAGTGGAAGTCGGTGGGGATATATCTAATGATGATTCTGGGTAAGATAGTGCTTTGGGTCCATAATGTCGATTTCCCCAAGTTTTCCAAGACTTTACATTTGCATAACATTGCAAATACAGTCGGTATCAGTTGCTTCACAAAACTCATGTTTTTTACCCTCATGAGAAATTCTATTAGAACTGGACCCATGACAAAACTCTTCGAACCCATTCAGTTCACACTGCAGTCACTTATCGAGTTCATTTCACTTTCCGATTCGGTCAGAGTAGCCAAAAATCGTTACTGGCACAGTAATTCTGCGAATACTCTAACCACTGCAATTGGATAGCCTATTCGAATGGTAGTCACAGGAATGCGCTGCTCTTATCCTGTTCTTCAAGGTTCCCATACATAATTTGAAATTCTTCACTTAATGATAAACTTGAAAGTGAAGTCGGTGTTAAAAATAGTGGTTTGTTATAGCCCTACCAATTTTAACTACTACTCAGTAGACTGACACCATTAAAACAAGTAGTTTTGCATGAAAACCGACCAAGCATCGCTCTTTGTCCTGGGAAACGGTCGGATGAGGTCACTTCATTCTAGCAGAAAGATTTTATGAAACGGCACTATTGGGAGAGGTCATTTCTTCTTCATGATGTTCCATTCCACTCGAGACGACTCGATGCGTTGTAATACAAAGGCTAGCAAATCGCAAAAAAAAGCTGCTGTATACATCAGATTTGAGAAAAACCTAGTTAGAGCTTACCAAAGCAACAAAATACTGACTGTTAATGCAGAGATTAAATGAAATCGTCATTTAAAATACAATAGCAAACTGTCAAAATCACATAAAAAAGCCACCCTAACTTCCAGCTGACCTTGATTTTCTAATCTAATTTCAGAATAACCAAAAAATTTCAGGAACAACACACCAAAATGCACTAAAGAAATATAGATCCCACTTTGTCCTAAATAATCAAGTTGGTGGATAAAAAAAGGGATAAAGTTCTCGGCGTTGATAAATCCCTAAATGATGCGCCATGCATTCTTCATTAAGGGTCGTTTGAGGCGGTTGAATGCATATCTAGCCTTTACAATGATTCGCAGTGGTCCAACGATGTATCCAGCCAGTGCTGCTACCCTCCCAGACAACTCTGGTACCAATCTACCTATGTCGGAGCGATGGAGGGTTTGGTGAGCCTAGGCGCAGGGATCGATAGCATGTGTATTTCAGGACGCCTCTGACCACTGCGCTACGCGCACTATTTAATAGAAAAGACAATAGGAAGACAAAGAAAGCACACGGCACTTCACAGATTACAGAAACCAACCAGACTTGGTAATTCTTCGGAGTCTGCATGATAACGTCATCAAGATACTTCAATTCGTTCTTCAGATCAATGTCCAGCTTTTTAAGCAATTCGCGACGAAACTGCCTACATAAATACCGATGTATTGCAAACGGTTAAAAAGGATATATAACTGCTTTTAAATCTACTACCTATCGATAACAGTACTTAGTTACAGCTATTCTTACCAAAGAGTGTAGTTTGCAGGGTTTAACTGAATACAGTCTTCGGTGAGTAAAAAAACTCTTGGTGATTCTTCCCCTGAAGCCATAACAGCTCGCAGATAAGCAAAAGCATCCTTAACTGGAACAGAGAATGATATTTAAAAACATGTTAGAATAAGACATCATGTTTATAAATAGATCGTTACACTGCTCAGTGACTGCTATGCGAACAGCGCCGTCTTCTTCCTTCGATGGATAGATGGGTTGCACATCTGACCATTCAGGTTTATCCCGATACAATGTTGATGAACAGAACTCGTCATTGTCTGTCATTCGTGAACAACAGTATGTGCAGATGAAATCTAAGACGAAAATTTAAGCCACTATTTTAGTTAGCATCGTTGGATCATGTCAGTATCACTAGCGTACTATCACTTATTCATTGGGTCTCAACCTGAAAAAAGCAGATAGATAGTGGGTCTGAGTGCACTTTTCCACTATTGTTGATAACAGTTCGATAATTTGAGTGTTGAAGGGACGGAGTACAGTGAACGTGATGTCGGTCATCACAAGCATAGTTCTGGTCCGAAACCGCTCCAGCCTCTTCATTCCTCCGGAGTCGGGAAATTAGCATCAGACTTGTCTGGGAAAAATCATTCTTTGCAATCTGACTGGGAACCATCCAACCCGTCTATCTCAAAGACTCCAGTGGGAATCGACTCGACCAGTATTCTACGACATTCAAGAAGACATGAACAATCTTCAAACGGCAGTCGAAGGCACACGTAGAAGTCGGAGGACCTTCGTGGACGATGGATGCGAGGAAACGAACCGAATGTGAAAAGTGCTGGAATCCGGACAGTAAACATGAAGGGGGGTCGTACAAAATGAAGAAAAAAAAATAATAGTGCAAGTGGCTGCGACAATTTCATAGATTTATGGAGGAAACTTGTCTGCGTTGCTCTTGTCGCACAAATAACTCATAATAAGACACTTTCGTTCGAATTCCAAAATTTTAAAAACTGAAAACAAAATTTAGTTTGTTAAAATCCCTTAAGCAAGGCTGCACCCATGAACAGGAAGGATAGATTGAAGGGCTATATCGCAATCTGTTGGACGAATTCCCGTTTGTTCAATCGCCCTGCTGCTTGAAAGTCGAACGTCGACAAAACGATGCAAAAATTTCCCAGTTCTGAGCTCCGTAAAATCAGAATTTCTAGAACTCATGACTTGTTGGCGAAAATGGGGCTCGAAAAGTGGACGGTGGCAACAAATCCGTGCAATGCATTAATGGCTCCATTGTTCCGGGATTGGTATCAAACCTGTCTGGGAGAGGGTTTCTCAGATCCACAAAGTTTGGCCACTGCTGGCAGTGAGGTTAAAGACATAGATCAAATCTATCCTAACCTTTTAACGAGCATTCAACGAAGTCCATGAAGATAAAGTTCTTAACTAGGAGCTGAACACATGGAAGCATACGAAGACCTTCACGAAGGCGGATGGAAGCGAAACGAATGGGAAAAGTGCTGACATTAGCATTTTTGTGAAGACCGGGCAAGCAAATAAACAAATAAAATTGACAAAAACCTCCACATCTTATCGCTTTTCATGTCAAGGAATAAAAGTGACAGCTAAAAATAGGGTGGGCAGTGCTGTGGTACTGATATCGTTAATTACAAGCAACACGCTGTTTCGATCCTTCACTGTGCCCAACAAGCCTCCGATCCAACTGAAGTCATGGACTTGGTGCTAGAATTTTCTGAAATCAATTCTCTCCTTCTGATCTATGTGGAAATGCCCTAGCATGGCACGTCTACGATTCACGGAGAATCGACTAGATCAGCGCTCAACACCATTCATCAAGAATTATAAAAACCCTCATGTAGCAACCAAAACTAAATGCAGGAACGTCCGACATCCGTGGATACTGGATTCGCCGAAAAGAATCGAACTGAAGAAGTGTTGGGATCCGCACAGTATGGCGCACGTGAAACTAGGTCACCTAAACATAATGCTGCAAGCTTATAGATGCACCCAATTTCGGGTACGTTTGGGTGGAAACCGATTTCCGTCACCCTTTAACTGATTATTAGGTATTAAGTGATTTACCAGCAGAACTAGTACGTCAACAAGTTTTTTACCAACCTCGTGTCTGCTTACTGGTGAAAGAAACATGTTGATTAGCCATAAAGATGTCAAATGGGAGAGGATTTTTGGAATATCCGTACGCCCTACGCTAGCTGATAACAATACCGACTGCTCCAGGATGGACTGTCCAGAGAAGAGCACGTTGTTTTCACCGGACGACCCCTATCAACAACAATCCCTCTCTATAAATGAGTACTGCCGAATGAGGCTACTTCATTCGGACGGTGCCCCACTGGATTTGACTCGATGCGATCACGAAGACCGAAATCGGAAGAAGGAACAACTCTGGGCAATCGACTCGGATCAATCCGGCTCTGAAGAAGGCGAAGGAGCCAAAACGTTGACAGAACAAAATTTTACCTAACAAACTTACAACAAGCAACTAACTAACTAACTATTAACCTCGTGTTAGCTTATAAATGAAGAAAAATAGCACATAAACTAATTGGAATCACAAGCAAGGAGAAGTGAGACAAGAAAGAAGGAAGTACAAGAACGGAAGAGAAGAAGTAACCGCAAAAATTTTGCAGCACAGATTTAAATCGCTCGAGGTTCAAGAAATCGTGTCAGGACCAACACACACCTCGAGAGAATCCACGTTTCCGCTCTGGCCGAGGTCCTTGAGCGCTTGCAGGTCACCCAGCGCTCCAACTGACGTCGGCCGTTACCCATCCTTCCCCTGCCTCCACTAATCCCGCCACTGCGGATTCCAGGATACCGTTTTCCTCTCAGCTTACGACTAAACTCGCCGACTTTCCTTGAGTAAATGAACTTCTATGTCGTGTACTTCTTAAGGGTATTGTTTAATCTGCTTAAGTTATGAAATCGGTGTATTTACTTAGTGGACGCATGTGGTTTAATACTCGACTACTTTTAATATTTAAGATCATTTATGACTTTTCGTTTGTGACAATTTAGATTCATAGGTTTATGCGTTTTTTCGAATATGAAGACCAAAAGGCCAGGTTGATATCTAGCTTGAATTTCACTTTTATTATAAGGGATGAAGCTCTCGGCGTCGATTGATTCCAAAGGGATGCACCATGCATTTGACTTCATTAAGCGCCATGTTAACTTTTTTATTTACTGCCTACTACAGTATTTCATGGCAGGGTGTTACGTGTGATACAACCAAAAATGATGCTGAGGTATTCGCAGAACTTAATCTTTCTAGGCAGTCGACGACTGGTTGCGGTGAGTAATGAATTTACCGTCGCAGTTCAGGATAGAACATGAGCTGAAGACCATGGGGTCCGAACAGTTAAGTAAGTTCCTTACTCTTTTGTTTGTAGTACAGTTAGTATCGATTGAACTTTCATCCTCACAATTTAGAAGAAACTTATCGAAAACAACTTGTTTAAAATGTTGTGCTTACACGGGGTCTATAAAATTGTTTTGTTCGGCTAACTTTTTGACCTGTTCGTCTTCATCAGAGCCAGTGATCCGAATAGATGGTTCACAGTTGTTTCTCTTCGTTGTTCGTGTACCATCGGCTCTGATGAACGAACAGGTGGAAACGTTAGCCAAACAAAACAATTTTCTTCGTATTTTTGTTGAGCAAACGCGAGGTGTTATTATTCTTTGTTCACGATTAAGCTGACGTTTCGGCGAATTTCGCCTTCCTCAGAGCCTGGAAAGGTCAAGTTGATAGCAACTCACTCGGCCAGACGCCTCCATAACCAAACAAAGAAACTCCAAACCAAGATTTCAATCACTTTGAACACAGCTTTGCACACTCACCCCTTTCTATGAGGTTTCCACTAAGTATGTCACGTAGAGACCAACCGCACAGAAATCACATGAAAGCGTAATGTGCCCCTCCCATCAGAATAACCGGTTTATATACTGTCCAATGTCACGTGTGATAACGAGACATTCTTCCCTGCGGTTCATTTTCGGATTTCTAGAATTAATCCAGAACCCCTTGTGAGTTCTGCGCGCTTGTGTTCTCGATTCCTGTGCGAGGATTGTGGCACGTACTTCAAAGTCCTCCCCGTCATGTCTCTGGGTCCTATGCGTGCCTACCGGGGTATTTGGTCTATTTTTGCCGGCTAGGTGTTCTTTCATGCGGACACAGAGGGGTCTACCCGTTTCGCCAATGTATTCGTCACCACACGTCTTACAGGAGATCAGATAAACTATACCCGAGCTCATGCAATCACCGTCTCTACCACTGGGGCAAATTATGCAATTTTGAGTTGCACATAGACGGTCATATAGGCGGTTACGAACTACCTGGCGCTTAAGATTAATCGGTGGTATTTCAACTACGCTCACCGAATTCTCTAAACTCGCCCTTGTTAAGCAGCGTTTTATAGCTGTACTTATATCATTTGAGATGAAGGGTAGGATAAACGGGACCCTTCTATCGCTAGAGTTGTCGTTTGGAGGCTTACAATTTCCTCTACACCTATCCTGAGCTACTGTTTCGTAGCCATTAGAAATGGCTATTTGCCGTGCCAAGTTCCGGGACTCCTCTCTTTGCTCTCTTCCCGTGCACACGTTGGTTACCGTTCGAAACATGTTTCTTATAAGCGCCCTTTTCGTGTGAGAGGGGTGAGAGGAGAGGTAATGAACCAAGATATTTTTACTACTTGGCTTTCGGTACCACTTTGTAATGTAGCCATTTTCTGATAGGTGAATTTGTACGTTCAAAAATGGAAGCCATTTTTCTTTCGGCTTTTCTCGGGTGAACTTGATATGCTCTGACTGTGCGTTTAACAATTCGAAGCATTTGTCCATTTCCTCTTGTGTTGAGCAAAGGACAAAGCAGTCGTCTACATACCTACAGTAGAGTAGCGGCNCGAGATCAGTCACCGGTGCTTCCACCTTAGACATAAATGCAATGGCAAGGCTTGGAGCCAGTCGTTGTCCCATTGCCAACCCTCTTATTTCTCGAGGCACTCTGGATTAATTCCAGAAATCCGAAAATGAACCGCAGGGAAGAATGCCTCATTATCGCGCGTGATATAGGGCAGTATATAAAACTGCTTTTCTGATGTGAGGGGCACATTATACTTCCACGTGATTTCTGTGCGGTTGGTCTCTACGTGACATAGTGGAGACCTCATAGAAAGCGGTGGTGTGCAAAGCTGTGTTCAAAGTGATTGAAATCTTGGTTTGAAGTTTCTTTGTTTGGTTATGGAGGCGTCTGGCCGAGTGAGTTGCTATCAACTTGACCTTTCCAGGCTCAGAGGAAGGCGAAATTCGCCGAGACGTCAGCTTAATCGTGAACAAAGAATAATAACACCTCGCGTTTGCTCAACAAAATTACGAAGGAAATCACTTGATCAATGCCGAGGTTAATAGAAAGTCTGTCGTGGCAGTCAAAACAATTTTATCAACATCATGTAACGCCATATAATCTCAACAATTTAAACATGTTGATTATTTCGCTGCCGAGGTTAAATGACGTTCAGTGTGAAAATAATCGAAAGCATTTTGTTTCAATGCCCATAATGATAGCATTGTGCTTCTGTTTCTTCAGATGTCTCTGCTTGACTTTGCACGCTTACATAGTTTACTCTTGAAAATAAAGACCTGATGTTATTCCACTTATGTGCGCAATGCGTTTAGTCTTCTAATTTCTTCATTCAAGTCCAGCTTTTATGCTATAGTTAGGACAAGCTTCCTTTTCAGTTACCATTTAATACTTATGTATTTGGATGCACCGTCTTCACAGTTTGCGTGCACCCCAGCATAATTTCATTTTTTTTTGAGTTTTGCTAGTTTAGCCATTGTATCTCCCTGGAGCCCCGAGGTTAGCATGGCCAGTCTTCCCCAGTCGTCACCACCACAGGCAGTCGCCGCCTTGGAGATTAGTGGGAGATTCGCCACCATGTGACTAGTATGATACCAGGGCGGTGATAAATCCTGTTATTGGTTTACTCTTAGGTAGGCTTCCTGATGGACACGTCGGATTCCTTCTATACTTGAGAGACCTTGCTGTGGTGATGAATACCACCGCAGTAATCAAAGCCCGACACCCAGGAACACCTCCCAGTCACGATGAGGCGGAAAACCGTTTGGGGGGGGGGAGGGGTGGCGTAACCATTTAATAAGTCTACTAGTTAACAGTTAGCTGCTTTTCAGTCATCGATTTAGCTGTCTATTTTACAGGACGAGAAAGAAGCCTCATTTTGAATGATTTGAGGTCTCTAGATGATCAAATAGGAGATCTTGCATTCAACAACTATCGCACCTATGCGGACGCTGGCCGAACAACCCAGCACTGCACGGAAATAGTCAGTTTTTCTGGTTAACGATCATTATAATAGCTCTTTCCTAAGACTCCGCTTACGTCACACTTGAAAGTGGTAGCTTGTTGACACAGTTATTTCAAAGAAAACCTTATTTTTTGGACCAATTTTAGTTCACAGAAATGAGTGAGAAGCTCCGTGTGGTGTCAGAACAAATTCCGAAGCTTGCCTCAGAGCTGCAGTCTTTCCATACTTGCGCCAAAAATGTGTCGAACGAGCTCGATATTGTTCAGTCTGCTAGTCAAAAAGAAAGTGCTCTATGGGAACTTCTTTCATTACCATCAGTATGTTTCATTTTTGTCTGCCGTAATATACTTATTATCTCTGGTACTCAATCACAATTTCTAATGAGCGGACTTGGTGCAGTTTTTCAAAAACGCTTGAAAAGAAGCTCTGTTATATAATATCATCGTATTCACTACCTAGAGCACGTGTAGTGCAGTGGTCGGAGGCTCCCTGCAGTACACATGGGATCGATCCCAGCGCCTCAGGCTCATCAAGCCTTTCATCTCTTCTGGGGTCGCTAAATTGTTACCAGACTTGTCTGGGAGGATAGCAGAACTGACTCGATACATTGGTAGGCCACCGCGAGTCATTGTGAAGGCCAGATATGCATTTAATCACCTCTAATACTTATGCTTAATGAAGTCGAATGCATGACGCATCCCCCAGGGATTGATCAAGGCCGAGAGTTTCATCCCTTTTTATTTTATTCACTGCATCGTGTACCCTTCTTTTTTCAGAGAATGGATGTTTGTATTCGTGCTGGATATTACGAGGCTGCGTATTCCCTTACGAATTATGGTATGGTTCTTCAGCAGCACTCCATCTTTAAAAATCCTTTAGTCAAGGTATTTTGGGTCTAGGCGCAGAGCGCTGTTTCGTTCTGTCTTCTTGTTTTTTCTTCTTCGATATTATTACTTTCTTCGCAACCATAAAGTTTAAGGGAATCGCAAACAAACTTGTTGAGGCGCGATCATTCCTTCTCGAAGAACTGTTCAACAAATTTTCCGGACCACTTGATTTAGCATCTTCCATACAAGTAAGTAGTACTTATTTACTTGAAGGTTTTCACTTAAACGTGTCTTATTCCTTGTTCACTATTGACATGCGGTACGTTTTCTATAGCTTTCACGAGGTCCATGTTCCATATCCGATGCAGAGTTTCCGCCCGTTAATTTGATGATTAAGGGTATAAGATTAGGATTATGGACCCCCTTAAGAATAATGATATTGAGTAAGTATTATGTTTTTCATGAGTTTTAGCCACATTCCCAATAGTGCTTTACAGTTACGCGACTGGTTCAGTTAGATTTTCGCCTAGCTTTTCCTCTTTTCTGCCTTTCTTCCGTTTTCTCAATTTGGTCCTATTTTAGTTTTTTTCTGTCGATCTTTCATTGTGGTCTTTGTTTCTGTCTTTTTTCTGTTAGTGTTCCACTTTTAAATCATTATATTTCATTTGTTTACATAACGATCAAGGCAATTCATGTTGCAAATAGCAAATGTAGCATTTCCATATGCAATAAGTTGAATTAGTTTTAATAGCTTTTTCAAATATGAAACGTCTCTCACACTCATAATGATGCTGAGTTATTTGCAAAACTCGGGACCGTTGGTGTCTGCTGTGGAGAACGAACGCGCTGTCACCCTTTTCAAGGGCCAACACGTTCACCACCAAACCATGTGCGTCCTTCGCTTAGCCTTTCTCTCAGCTAGTTTTCTATCCACCACCAGTCACCCGTTAACAGCATTGATCTGGGGAGCTCAAATAGGCATTAGACCCAGTTAAGCTGTGGTTTTAGAAAAATTGTAAGAAGCGGCAAATAAAAAGTTAACATTGTGGTTTCTTGCAGTTGTTTTGTGTTCAGGTTCTTTACATATTCCATTCAGGTTGTCAATAATGTTCGCAAGATGCCAAATCTCACCTCGACGCAATTGCGAATTTGTATTTTACAACACCGGGACATGTACCTAAACAGGCAGATTTTGGATATTACAGTAAGTTATCTGAATGCTTTCAGCTTTTCCTGTATGAAAATAAGGCACTTCTTTAGCAAGCCTTCTTAAAGTTCTTGCTTGTACACCTCCCTTATAGTAATAGAAAAGGCAAACTGTCACATTAACATGTGCCTTGAGTTGCATCCGGTCACTTTTGCAATCTGTATAGAACGAAGGTTAATCATTTTAAACTTGCAACTTTTCAGTGAATCCCTTAGTTTTTCTTTCTACAATTTTTACTTACTGTTCCCGTTTTTCTGCTTCCTTTGTGTTTAATTTTTTCATGTTAATAACCGCTACTTAGACGCGTGTGGCGCAGTGGTCGATGGTCTCTTGTAATACACATGGGATCGATCTCTTTGGCCCAGGCCCACTAAGCCCTATATCTCTCCGGGGTCGGTAAATTTGTACTAAAATCGTCTGGAAGGATAGCAGCACTGGTTCGATACATCGGTAGGCCACCGCGAGTCATTGTAAAGATCAGATATGCATTCATTCACCTCCAGGCGATGCGTAGTGAAGTCGAATGCATGGCATACCACTCAGGAATTGATCACTTACGGGAACTTCATCTTTTAATTTCAATAAATACATGCTTATTTGGTACTCGCAATATGAAGTTCAAAAACTAGGCATGAAAGAGCTCACCTTAGATTGCAAACAGCGAGTATTGGTGAGATTTTGAGTTATATTTGTGATGCTAGATATTAGATTTGTTAGATTATTAAGTTGTGGGCATAAATTTCTCCGAAAAACAACGCTTGTTTTTGTTTTCAGAACCATCCAGAGTTTCCAATTCGTGCTATCGAAATCTATCGAGATTGTATGTATGACACCCTTGTTCTGTATCTATCGGTTTTTCCCGAAAATGAACCACCACGTAAAGATGTTAGTCACTTCTTTGCACTATATTTTCCAGCAGTTATTTTTGCTAGTTTCTGGGCTGTTTATACTTACGTTTATGGAATCAGGACCACGTATACCTTCATTTGTTTCGCCAAATATTATGCTTGTTTGTCTTTGTTTGAGATTCATAAACTTTTTAACGGTATTGTTGCTGTAAAGTAGGAATGTTTACAATAGTAACAACTACTCACAGAAATATATAAAATATAACTAAGGCATAGCATTAACCACAAGAGACTCTTATGTTTGATGCTAAGCCTTATTTATGTTTTACATATTTGTGCATATATATAAACAAAATGGTTGTTTGATTCGTGGTAGAATGTCACCTTTTAAGAAATGTGAACTAATTTCATACAGTTAGTTTTAGCCTTCACTGGATCCCCGTTGGGAAACCTGGCCACCAAGTGCGCCTTCTGTGCTACTTGGTCAGTGGACTGCGCGAAACATTACCAGGCTACTGGATCTAATACGTCGAACAGATATGAAGTACGTCTTTTTTTCTTATTCTAGTCCTTCCTTTATAGCGTAACTTCAGTAAAAGATATGAAAAAAAACGTTGGCCAACCATATATCTTCAAGCTTTGTGATTCCTCTATATCCATTTAGAAACGGTGTTGATATGTGTACTATATGGTCGAAGCTCATGTCATTGGCAGCATCTCTTGGACGAATGGGTCTAGACTTTCGTGCACTTGTGGTCGATTCCCTTACAAAAATGGTTTTGGAACGTTTTCGTTCTTCAATCCGAACAACTACGAATGTGTGCGTTTGTTGCTAACACTAACATAAAAGGTCTTTGTACTTGTTTAAAGTAGCAGTACTATTTCACAGTAGTAGACCATCATCGCAAAATTTTCCTTAAAGAAGTGGTTTTCCAGCTTCTTGAACGACACAAAAGTGCTCTCTGTTGTAAATGAGGAAATTTCGTCGTTGTCAGTTGACAGAGATGTTCCGGCAAGCGGTCCACCTGTACCTCCTCCTGAAATTTCTTTGTGGGATGACATCTGTATTTATGGTAATGGAATTTTGGACGCTGTAAATGATTTGCGCTATTCTCCATATCCATTGCTGGTTCGTTTCTGTTTGTTTTTCCCACATAACATTTTTGCATTGTTACATTTCTGCTCAACTGAGTGATCCTTATATGTGAATTACTACAACCGTAATTCACATATTTATTTGTATGGTCTTTTAACTGATCTTTTTGAGTTGGTGCGAGATTGGTATAGGTTTTCGTTGTCGTTGTCGCTGTTACGAGTGGAGTTAATAGCAATACTAGCAGTAATATTAGTAGTAATGCTAATAGTAATATTAATAGTCCCACCCGTAACAGCACGGCTCTGAGGAAGGCGAAATCGCCGAAACGTCAGCCATCGACCAACAACAACAACAACGTTAACAAAAACCTGTACCAATCTCGCATCAGCTCAAAAAAATCCCTTATAAGATCATGTAAATAAATATATCAATTACTTATGCAGAGGTTTATAGAAAGTCGGTCTTTTGAATCTTAATTCACATAGCTGATCGGGATAGGACAATAATTCGGCTGCTAGTTGCTGTCCTTGACTGAGTGTTGACTAGGTGTGCTTCGCGAAGTTTTTTAGATTTCTGTGGATTTGGGGGAGGTTAGCTGCCATCGAACGACAACATTCATATACATGTATATGCAGCTATACAAGGTTTGTGATGACGATCATCACGAGCTCGGTGTTGGTCCGGTCCCACACCAGGCGCACCATGTCTTTCATCCTCCAGGGGACGGAAAATTGTTACGGGACTTGTCGTGGAAAAAACCACTCTGCAATACAGTCGTATAAAAAGATATGCATACATATGTATATATGTTTGCGTATATATACATATATATATACATATGTATATGTATATATATATGTGTACGTAGAGAGAGAGTGTGTTAATTGGTTTCTTAATAGTGGACATGAGGTTGTTATTCAGTATTTATTCTAAAAGTTCACGTTTAGTAGGTTTCACCCTTTTCAGACACTGGAGGGGTCAAGTTGACATGCACTCTACTCAGTCGAACTATCATAACCTTGCCAGATAAAACTTAATGTATAAATTTTATTCGCATAATAAACAGTTTCTTTGAAACTGTCACCGTTTTGTTCTTTATATGTCGTCCAATACAGGATCTTGTTGCTAGAAATGAAATCTGAGGGTGGCAAAACAAAATTTAAGTGTCAATGTATTCCATATAAGTACAGACATGTTAAAACAATGAAAACATGTGGTATATTCTTTAGATCGAAAGTGTCGTTGCATGTATTCGTGACTCACTAAAAAGTGTACTGCTGTGGCTACCTCGGAACTCGTCATCGCCGCATTTCGCGAAAGCAGTAGAGATTTTCTGTCTATATTTTGGACCTTTCATCGGACGATGTGTCCGATTTGTATTCCCGTTTTCTAGCATTACGCGACTATTTGGTACATCTATAACTCCACAAACTTATGTGAGTTTTGAGCTTTTTCTCTTTTATAGTATCTTTTTCCATCCAATTTAAGCTTGAGCAGTTTTCGTTTTTAGTTAGCAAACTGTGGAAATAAGGTGAAACTTTTTTGATAGCAACCTAATGTAAGCTGGGAATACAGCAAAGTACTTAGCAAACCGTTTGGAAGAAATAAACTGAGGTTTGCGTACGGGAGCTTTACCACTGGTCTTTTTCATAATTATTCAACAGAATTGATCCTATAGTGGTATTGATTATCATAGTATATGTCGGTAGTTCATTACTAGAAAGAAAGAGATGTGTTGATTACTTATATTGACGTTGAAGCGTATGATGTATTTATTTCAGGAGTCACTCACTGAATTAAATATGACTGAGCTTGTTGCTTCATGTGATGGAGGCGAGCGAATTCAGGAGGTTCTTCGACTTCATTCATCACAGAACTTTTTATCCAAAGTTGAGCCACCAGCGGATGTACAACAAAAAGTGTCTCCTAAAACCAATGAAAATGTCGACGAAAACAATGCAGCTGCAGAGTGCTTGGATACATGTTCATCATCAGAGCCTACTTCCATAGCAGTTCATTTCGAATTGTGTGAAGAGCGAGCGGAGGAAAGAGCAGAAGATGACTCAGTTGAGATAAAAGCAGAAGCGTGGGCGGATAATGTTTCATCCGATGACAAAGGAGTTTGTTTTCATGACCAGTTGAAGCTGCAATTAAACGATGCTACAATTACTGTCGATACTGATGACGTTCCGGCTTTGGTGGATACGGCACCTAGTCCTCTATGTAGCGATGCCGAAGCGGCTACAATACAGGGGAATGGTTGGGGAAGCGAACAACAAGATTTAGAAGATGAATGTAAATCAAAAAAAGACTAAAATATTAAAACTGAAGTGATACTTTTGAGTAAGCCTTTTATATACTGTTTGAACTAAAGCCGGGTCTACCCACCAGTTTATTTCTTGAATTCTAAGGTCAGGTATTTGTGGTCTTCTGTGATAAGTACTTTTTTCAGTATTAGCTGATCAATATTTGTCTTATTTATGAATAAGGTTTATTTTGTCAGAGTGATGAATTGTAGCTATCTGGTGTTAATGATAAACCGTTTGTCCTTGATCAATTCCTTAGAGCTCGATTAGGGTCGCTCAAGTCTTGTACAACATTGGTCGTGTTGGTCACAAATTACATGTTCGGCAAAGTGGAGTTTTGAGAGCAGACTTTCAAATCTCATTCTTGTCATAGGAGGCACTGCAATAGGATGGCGTGCAACAGCATGATGAAGATTCCAATAATCCTTAAGATGTGGTAGCCTAGCAAACCTCATCTTAAGGCGGAGACCGATGAGTCCTCTCATCTCGTCAGCACTTGTTGCTTCCGACAACATCATTCTTCACTGCAACGCTATTTGTCTCATTCACAATCAGCTCCCAAGTGTCAATTATAAATAATTCATCGAATCTCAGTTCTGTGCACCAATTCCGTAATTATCTATCTGCACGAGAATGTAATTGAAAAGCCGATGCTTCTATGGCATTGTATCACAAGTGCACTCACCATTGACAGCACTAATACTTTCGTCCTTCTTCGCTGATTCTCTTTCTTAAGTCTCTTCGGCAAAAAAGCGAAGTCGGTTCTCCGATATCCAAATCTTATTCGCCATTATCACCCTCGATGAAAAGTTTATCGAAACGAATGGCTCAAGGACATAATATTCAATTCGTGCCTAGTATGATTAATCTTAAACGCTAAACAAGGAAATTGATTATAAGTATGAATGTATTTAGCGTTAGGGTAGAGATAAATGGGAAAGAATGTGAGGAAACAGCTAGAGGGGGGAGGGGATGAAGGAATGATAACAATAGTTTCACAAGAAAGGCGCTTTATAAACAGTTTATACAATACTGTTGAAGAGTCAAGGAACAATGACTCTATTTTCTCCAATGAAACATGAAAAAATCGTCGCTACCAATTCTTGAACCTGTTAGTTGGTCTCTACAAATCCATTGGAGCGCGCGAGGCGCCACGCTTTTCAACAGGCGTAGCCTTGACTCTGTGTGGAATTTCCACTTTGAAATGAAGAGCTTCGGAATCTAGAAATCCTCGCAAAAAGCTTCAAGTTTTCTTGTCGTATTTTGATAAAAGGAATGGATTCTCTAGGAACCCTTAATTTTAAGCAAACGAAAAATGAGAACTGCACTTTAGTGAAGTCGGTCGTTTTCTTTACAATGGTAGGGCATTGTCTTTGGCAATGTCCTCGAAAAGTGCTCTGTGTTTTCAACTTTTGATAACCTCTGATTACCCAAAATTATCGGGAGTCATCGCAGAACCGGTATCATTCCTCATATAGAGCATACAAAGTTGAATTTTTTCTTTGTGGAGAATGAACTCTTCCATCTTCAATTATTTAACGAGTCAGAGTTATCGTATGGAACGGATGGATATAAAAAATACTGAAATAAACTCAACATTGGTTGTAAAGCCCTTCAAAGTTCTGGCAGCTATGTATGACGGGCTACAGTAAGATGTATCCATAGTAGCATATATACATCACATTGATAAAGCAAAGACTCTCTTGTGTAACTCCTTGATGTCTAAACCACACAAATCCGCTATCTACCAAGAATTTACCGCTTATCGGGTTGGGGGAATATCGGTAGTGTAGTGTTTAAATCGCGGATGAGATCCACCTTTTGTGTAGCCGCCATGAAATCACGAGGCGTGCCACGTGTCAGGCAAATTACCAGGGACTTGGAACGTTGTCTTAACACTTTCGTCACAATGCACATTCATTTCGCTGGATACGTTAGTGCACGCTACGGACCGTGCATCTTGATTCCAATGTGCTGTCACCTCGATCTTTAATGATACTCGCTTTGGTGGTCTTTCCACGCGAAATTGGCTCTGGTCGTGGAACGGTTGATGATCTGGGTAGATTAAGGTGTTACCGACGCTGCCGGTTTTCTCAGTTACCACTCAGTTTTTATAGTTAATGTCTCCATGACTGCAAACAGTTGTTGTATTCGATATTTTTCTTCAATAAGCAGAAACAAGGTTGTTATTATAGCATCTACTAGGATACAATAGCTGACGTTTGGGCGGTTTCGCCTTCTTCAGAGCCGTTTATGACGGCTGAAATAAACGGGACACCGACATAATCACAAGTCAACGGGATTGATCGGGGAGCCCAAATCGGCATTGAACCCAGTTAAACTGAGGCTATAGTTATAATCGCAATCTTAACCTTTTTATTAAGTGCCTATTCTTTTTAACGGCAGAAAAAAAAATCGATAGAACTAACTGAGAGACAGGCGAAACGAAGAACCCGCATGGTGTAGTGGTGAACGCGTTACTCCACGGAAAGGACAATAGCTCGTTCGTTCCCCACCGCAGACACCTGCGGTCCGGAGATTTGCAAATATCTCAGCATTATAGTAGTTATATTTCGAAGCATACCCTGCCGTTAAAAAGAATAGGCAGTTAATAAAAAGGTTAAGAAAATGAATTCTGTTGTAGATTCTGCCAATTTCGAAATCCTGTCCTTTGATAGCGCTAAAATCTAACAGAAAATGGACGATGAATGGGTTGGTTTCAACGTAACCCGAAATAACCACAATAATGCTGAGATATTTGCAAAACTCCGGACCGCAGATGTCTACGGTGGGGAACGAACGCGCTATTTTCCTTTCCGAGGAGCAACGCCTTCATCACCACACCATGCGGATCCTTCGTTTCGCCTATCTCTCCGCTAGTTCTATCGATCAGTGCCATTAGCAGTCACCCATCAATGGGATTGATCTGGGGAGCCCACATCAGCATTGAACCCAGAACTAGCTGAGAGATAGGCGAAACAAAGGACCCACGTGGTGTGGTGGTGAACGCGTTACTCCCCGGAAAGGACAATAGCGCGTTCATTCCCCACCGCAGAGAACGGCGGTCCGGAGTTTTGCAAATATCTCAGCAATATTGTGATTGTGTTTCGTTTAATACCCTGCCATAAAAATTATGGAAGGCGGAAAATAAGAACATTGTGACCCGAAATAGTTGGGCCACTCATTTTTCAACAGATGGATCTAGTACCGTCAGAAACTCAATTTTCTGGAACGAAAACGTTATAAGCTGCAGGTTTTTGCTGGAATTTTCTTATTTTACAAAGATGGTGTCCCACTTTTTGTTTCCTGAAAAACTTTTCTACCATTTTTACGTAAATGCTTATTTTATCAATGATGAAACTGGACTCCATCAAGAAGGAATGAACAAGCACGATCCCTTCCAGAAGGACGCACTGAGGCCTCCAATGTGTCCCTCAAATCCTCTAGTGATCCAAAAATTGTCATCCATTTTTGAACAACCAGAAAGCGCGTGGTTGACCTCAAATTATGCGTCGTCCCAGAGCCAGCCAATATCCCGTGACACTGCAATGTGAACTGAATTCCCGATATTTCAATAGCTCAAGAGAAAGGCTGCACGACGCAATAGCTCGCCTATTCAAGGGTTGTGTATAGGAGATGAAAGTAATAGCTCGGCAAGAAACAAAGTAATCGGCTCATTTATACAAGAAGCAGTATATGCAAGCCATTCGGTAAGCAAAGTGCTGTTTGTCTGCCGTTAGCAGTCTAGAAATTATCTATTCACGTCGTTATTCCCAACAAAATGAGTAATCGGTTGCATGGAGGATAACCAAATGAGCGAGACGGAGTATAGGAAAGATTTAGCACAAATTATCTCGTTGAATGTTGAATGTGCAAAAAGTTATGGAGTTCGAACTTCCACCGAAAATTGCGGACAACTTTGCTCAAGCCTTGTCCTTAAAGGCGAATGGTTGGACACGCAAAATGATAATTGCTGACAAATCCAGTAAAGGGACCGAGGCGAAATGTGGGAAAAACTGCACGGTTCCATCGGAAGCAACCATAAAGTTCAAAAAAAAATTTCGAGCTCTTACTAGTTCCGTGGCTAAGTTACAGGTGCCTTGAATTAAACATAATATTTAAATATGGTGGATCTGACTATTCTGTGCAAAGCTTTAGTTCAACTCCACTAGGTCGAGCAG